TCACTTTCTAGTTGTAGCTACACTGAGAGTAAAAGGTAGATGGGATACAAGGAGAATAGAAGCAACAGGGAAGAGAGAGGTGAAGGTTTATAAACTAAAAGAGGAGGCAGTTAGGGCAAGATATAAACAGCTATTGGAGGATAGATGGGCTAATGAGAGCATAGGCAATGGTGTCGAAGAGGTATGGGGTAGGTTTAAAAATGTAGTGTTAGTGTTCAGCAGAAGTTTGTGGTTACAGGAAAGTGGGTGCAGGAGGGAAGAGGAGCAATTGGTGGAATGAGTAGTAAGGGAGAAAAAGTTAGCATATGAGAAGTTTTTACAAAGTAGAAGTGATGCAAGGAGGGAAGAGTATATAGAGAAAAAGAGAGAGGTTAAGAGAGTGGTGAAGCAGTGTAAAAAGAGAGCAAATGAGAGAGTGGGTGAGATGTTATCAACAAATTTTGTTGAAAATAAGAAAAAGTTTTGGAGTGAGATTAACAAGTTGAGGAAGCCTAGAGAACAAATGGATTTGTCAGTTAAAAATAGGAGAGGAGAGTTATTAAATGGAGAGTTAGAGGTATTGGGAAGATGGAGGGATTATTTTGAGGAATTCTTAAATGTTGATGAAGATAGGGAAGCCGTGATTTCATGTATAGGGCAATGAGGAATAACATCTTGCAGGAGTGAGGAAGAGTCAGTTGTGAGTGTGGGGGAAGTTCGTGAGGCAGTAGGTAAAATGAAACGGGGTAAGGCAGCTGGGATTGATGGGATAAAGATATAAATGTTAAAAGCAGGTGGGGATATAGTTTTGGAGTGGTTGGTGCTATTATTTAATAAATGTATGGAAGAGGGTAAGGTACCTAGGGATTGGCAGAGAGCATGCATAGCTCATTTGTATAAAGGCAAAGGAGACAAAAGAGAGTGCAAAAATTATAGGGGGATAAGTCAGTTGAGTATACCTGGTAAAGTGTATGGTAGTTATTATTGAAAGAATTAAGAGTAAGATGGAGAATAGGATAGCAGATGAAATAGGAGGCTTTAGGAAAGGTAGGGGGTGTGTGGACCAGGTGTTTACAGTGAAACATATAAGTGAACAGTATTTAGATAAGGCTAAAGAGGTTTTTGTGGCATTTATGGATTTGGAAAAGGCGTATGACAGGGTGGATAGGGGGGCAATATGGCAGATGTTGCAGGTGTATGGTATAGGAGGTAGGTTACTGAAAGCAGTGAAGAGTTTTTATGAGGATAGTGAGGCTCAAGTTAGAGTATGTAGGAGAGAGGGAGATTATTTCCCAGTAAAAGTAGGCCTTAGACAAGGATGTGTGATGTCACCGTGGTTGTTTAATATATTTATAGATGGGGTTGTAAGAGAAGTAAATGCGAGGGTCTTGGCAAGAGGCATGGAGTTAAAAGATAAAGAATCACACATAAAGTGGGAGTTGTCACAGTTGCTCTTTGCTGATGACACAGTGCTCTTGGGAGATTCTGAAGAGAAGTTGCAGAGGTTGGTGGATGAATTTGGTAGGGTATGCAAAAGAAGAAAATTAAAAGTGAACACAGGAAAGAGTAAGGTTATGAGAATAACAAAAAGATTAGGTGATGAAAGATTGGATATCAGATTGGAGGGAGAGAGTATGGAGGAGGTGAATGTATTCAGATATTTGGGAGTGGACGTGTCAGCGGATGGGTCTATGAAAGATGAGGCGAATCATAGAATTGATGAGGGGAAAAGGGTGAGCGGTGCACTTAGGAGTTTGTGGAGACAAAGAACTTTGTCCTTGGAGGCAAAGAGGGGAATGTATGAGAGCATAGTTTTACCAACGCTCGTATATGGTTGTGAAGCATGGGTGATGAATGTTGCAGCGAGAAGGCTGGAGGCAGTGGAGATGTCATGTCTGAGGGCAATGTGTGGAATATAATGCAGAGAATTTGTAGTTTGGAAGTTAGGAGGAGGTGCGGGATTGCCAAAACTGTTGTCCAGAGGCTTGAGGAAGGGTTGTTGAGGTGGTTCGGACATGTAGAGAGAATGGAGCGAAGCAGAATGACTTCAAGAGTGTATCAGTCTGTAGTGGAAGGAAGGCGGGGTAGGGGTCGGCCTAGAAAAGGTTGGAGAGATGGGGTAAAGGAGGTTTTTTGTGCGAGGGGCTTGGGCTTCCAGCGGGCATGCGTGAGCGTGTTTGATAGGAGTGAATGGAGACAAATGGTTTTTAATACTTGACGTGCTGTTGGAGTGTGAGCAAAGTAACATTTATGAAGGGGTTCAGGGAAACCGGCAGGCTGGACTTGAGTCATGGAGATGGGAAGTACAGTGCCTGCACTCTGAAGGAGGGGTGTTAATGTTGCAGTTTAAAAACTGTAGTGTAAAGCACCCTTCTGGCAAGACAGTGATGGAGTGAATGATGGTGAAAGTTTTTCTTTTTCGGGCCACCCTGCCTTGGTGGGACTCTGCCAGTGTGCTAAATAATAAAAAGCATACACTTTTATATTTACACTTACCTTGGAGATCTTAGTTTAGTTAGTTAGTTTAATGTAGGAGATACTGGCAGAGGTTTAGGGTGGTGGAAGATAGCAGGTCGGCGTATGTTCATTGGCCCTATAAACATCCAACAACATTGGAGAGTTACTTTCGTGTCGTTTTTCTATTGCTTACTCGCTTAACTTACTTGCTACACTGTTAATTCTACACTTTATCGCTGGCTGGCTCTATAGCCTTTATTGATACCTGCTGCTTTAGTATCGTACATATCGTAGAATCACTGAATCACTGCAGAATGCACATTCTCCCCTCTCTCTCCCTCCTCCACTTTGGTATTTTGCAACGAGTCTTTTCTTGAATTCTATTGCGTTTCTTTCCTTCTTTACCACAGGGCTGGCACTAGCTTTCTTTGGGCCCATGGTGGCTTATTTAGCAGTTACAAGCACTAAAATCAATGGAATAATACAAAATATATCGCATGTATGTGTGGAATCGTCCTCACTGGCTTGTAAACAATGGCACACAAGCTGTCCTGGAAAGGCCGGGCGGCTGAGGCCGCGCAGACATATTCGAGATGAATATCCTTAACCGAGTTCTTGGGCGTTAGCCGAGCCAATACAGTGGTCCCTCGTTTATCATCGTTAATCCGTTCCTGGAAGTGTGACGATTATCGAAATAGACGATTTTCGAATCAATTTTCCCCATAAGAAATAATGTACATACAATTAATCTGTTCCTGACACCCAGAAGTATTAAAACAAAAATTCTTTTACGTGAAATATAGATGTAGTACATAAACAATACAATGGGACATGATGAATGAAACATTAACAGCATAACACTTACCTTTAGTGGTGATTCTTCTTAGTGTATGGAAGACTGGAGGAGGAGAGAGATTGGATTAGTTACTGTTTGGAAGGGGAATCCCCTTCCATCAACACCTCAGGTACCAAGTCCTTTTCTGGGGTTACATACTTCTCTTCTGTTTCTCAATGCCACTAGGACCAGCTTGAGTCACTAGAGTCCTGTCTCGCAAAAAAAGTATCCAGAGAGCTCTGTTTCTGGCGTCTCTTTAAAACTTTCCAAAAATAGGCCAAGACTCTGTCACTAAACAAGTTGCCGATATGGCTTGTAACATCCTTTTCAGGGTGATTTTTCTCCATAAATCTTTCCATCCAACCCCACATTTCAAAAATCTTAATTTCTGAAGAAAGCACACACCTTCTTCCATCTCTCTTCCTCCTCCTCTGCAGCAAGATTCTGAGCTGTGATCTGTTGCTGTTCCTGCTGAAGCTCTTGCAGCTCCTCAGTGGTTAGCTCTTCATTGTGGTCCTCCTCCAACTCTTCCACATCCTCCAAACTCACATCCACCCCCCATGGAACTCCCCAATGCCACAATAGATTTCACAACTGACATAGGCTCATCAGGGTCAGCCACAAACCTTTCAAAATCCCTCTTGTGGACACAATCTGGCCACAGTTTTCTCCAAGCAACAACAGCTTCCTTGATTTCCTTTTTCTCTGCCACGATGGAAGATATGGTTGTATGGGGTTTGTTATACATCCTGGCCAGTTCGGCCACACATACGCCACTTTCATATTGTTCAATGATGTTTTTCTTAAATTCAATCGTATTTCTCACCTTTACCAAAGGCTTGGCACTAGGAGCTTTCTTTGGAGCCATGGTAGCTTTTTTAGCACTTGCAAGCACTAAAATGAATGGAATATTATGAAATATTTCGTATGAACAAGTTAGGGGACCATCGCTCACTGGTAAACAATGGCACACTGGCTGGGAAGGGAGGCTGACGTGGCTCAGAGCCGTGAGTACGCGTCCAGGACGAACGACTATTAGCGGTCAACCGACCATTTGCGAGCCAATGTTTTGGATGAAAATAACATGACGATTTCCGAAAAGGACGACTATTGAGCCCGATGATTATCGAAGGACCACTGTATTTTGACGCCAAAACGTGCTGCTATCCGATTTTGGCGTTAACTGATGCCGCCGTTACCAGAGGGTCCACTGTAATATATACCAGAGAAGGGGTTACTAGCCCCTTGCTTCCATAATTCTCTCCATGATTAAATTGTATATGCAGGTAAATAATTTTTTTTTTTAACATACTGATTGTCTCCTACCGAGGCAGGGTGACCCAAAAGAGAAGAAATGAAAGTTTTTTACCATTTGACATTTGGTAATTTATGCTGGAGAAGGAATTACTTGAAAGTCAGATTGTTCTTTTCCGTAGTGTTAATTACAATACAATTGTTTGTACAGTATATGAATTTTAGGCTAAAAATGTGGGATTTTAATTACTGTAGGCTAGGATTCCCAGGCAAGTGCAAGATTGAAATTGTGACATTAGGACAGATTTTTTTTTCCTTTGCTTACCATGTTGATGCTGATGTATACAATTTGACCACAGTTGAAAATACTCAAATTCCAAGTTCTCTGATGGTGGGGAATGGCTGATATGGTAAAATACAGACTTGCTGTACTGTATATTTGTAAACATTTCATAATCATTCTTCTGATTTCCAGGAAAGTGATGAAGAAAATGGCAATGATTCAACATTAGTTCAGAAAGAGGATAAGAACTCTGATCCTGTAATGGAAAGTGTAAATGGAAAGCCAGTCGTGAAAAAGAAAAGTGGTCGCAGCAATAGGTTGGCCAGTCTTCGTAGGCGACGCAAAGTGAATGGTGATCAGCCCAATGCTAGTGACGGTTAGTCTTTCCAAAAACTTCCCAGCTAGTTTTATATTATCTTGTTAATATTTTTTTTTCCAACGAACTGGCTGTATCCCACTGAGGCAGGGTGACCTAAAAAGAAAAATGAGAGTTTCTCTTTTTAAATTTATTAATGCATACAGGAGAAGGGGTTACTAGCCCCTTGCTTCCAGCATTTTAGTTGCCACGTATTACGCTTTTTGACAGTAACGTAAATGAAAGTCCTGGCTCCTAAAGGGTAAATGACCTGCATAGTCGAGGGGCATTTATATTATTTAAAGTAGAAAAGAAACCACTCTAGGGCCAGCTTGTGCCTTCATATTAAATATGGAAGACAATATTGCTGCTGCCGCCGCTGCCGCTGCTGCTGCCGCCGCCGCCGCCGCCGCCGCCGCTGCCGCCGCCACCACCACCACCACCACCACCACCACCACCACCACCACCACCACCACCGCTGAGGCAGGGTGACCCAAAAAGAAAATACTTCCATCATCATTCAACATTTTCACCTCACTCCTACATAATCACTGTCTTTGCAGAGGCACCCAGATACAGCAGTTTAAAAGCATATATGAAGATATATAACATATCCCTCCAAACTGCCACTATCCCAAACCCCTCCTTTAAAGTAACCGGTTTCCCTGAATCCCTTCACTAAATATTACCCTGCTCACACTCCAACAGCTCGTCATGTCCTAAAAACCATTTGTCTCCATTCACTCCTATCAAACACGCTCATGCACGTTTGCTGGAAGTCCAAGCCCCTCGCCCACAAAACCTTTACCCACTCCCTCCAACCTTTTCAAGGGCAACCCCCAACCCCGCCTCCCTTCCCTACAGATTTATACGCTCTCCAAGTCATTCTACTTTGATCCATTCACTCTAAATGATCAAACCACCTCAACAACCCCTCTTGAGCCCTCTGACTAATACTTTTATTAACTCCACACCTTCTAATTTCCACACTCCAAATTCTCTGCATAATATTTACACCACACATTGCCCTCAGACAGGACATCTCCACTGCCTCCAGCTGCCTCCTCGCTGCAGCATTTACAACCCAGGCTTCACACCCATATAAGAGTGTTGGTACCACTATACTTTTGTACATTCCTTTCTTTGCCTTCATGGATAACGTTTTTTGTCTCCACAAATACCTCAATGCACCACTCGCCTTTCTTCTTCATCAATTCTATGATTACCCTCATCCTTTATAAACCCATCAGCTGACACGTCAACTCCCAAATGTCTGAAAACATTCACTTCTTTCTTACTCCCTCTCTCCATTGTGATATCCAATTTTTCTTTATCTAAATTGTTTGAAACCCTCATCACCTTACTCTTATCTATGTTCACTTTCAACTTTCTGCCTTTACACACCCTCCCAAACTCATCCACTAACCTTTGCAACTTTTCTTTAGTCTCCCATAAGCACAATGTCATCAGCAAAAAGTAACTGTGTCAACTCCCATTTTGTATTTGATTCCCCATAATTTAATCCCACCCCTCTCCCCAACACCCTAGCATTTACTTCTTTCACAACCCCATCTATAAATATATTAAACAACCATGGTGACATACATCCATGTCCAAGACCTACTTTTACCAGGAAGTAGTCTCCCTCTCTCCTACACACCCTAACCTGAGCCCCACTATACTCATAAAAACTTTATAGCGCTTCATAACTTACTACCTATTCCATATATGTACTTGCATCATCTGCCACATTGCTCCCCTATCCACTCTGTCATATGCCGTTTCTAAATCCATAAATGCAATGAAAACTTCCCAACCTCATCTGAATACTGTTCACATATATGATTTAACATAAACACTTGATCTACACATCCCCTACCCACTCTAAAGCCTCCTTTGCTTATCTGCAATCCTACTCTGTCTTACCTCTGATTCTTTCAATAATAACTACCGTACACTTTATTCTGGAACGGATTAATTGTATTTCCATTATTTCTTATGGGAAATATTGCTTAGCCTTTCAAACTTTTCGACTATAGAACCAGCTCCTGGAACAGATTAAGTTCGAAATTTAAGGTTCCACTGTACATATAAAATATACAATAACTTTAAAACACTTTAAATTTTGGAAAATTTCCAGACATAATAGATGTGCTCACAGAGAATGTAAACAAACCGGGTGGCGCACAAAGTACAGTATTAGAAAGACCGCACGCATATAGAGAGTTTTGGTCATAATTTGAAATCACTGTATTAGCGGAACGCTGTAAAGCGGGGCCCTACTATTTGTCGCTAAGTGAGGAGAGGCTGTAACGGTATTCTGCATAACAGTAAATCTTCTATTTTTTGTGTGAATAAAAATTTGAAATGGAAAGCAGGCATAATATAGGTCATTCCTGAGGACTTAACTCATAAACAGAGAAAAATGTTTAGTTCCAGGAATGTCTACATTGTTTATTCTGGACCCTATTTTTAAATTTGCAATTCATTTTTTGTGAAATTGGCCAAATTGCCAATTTGTGACCACTTTATTGGGTAGTTGAAATAAGTAAATGGGAAGTTTCTTGTATTCATTTGACAGAATAGGAGGAGTACTAGTAAAATAGCTATGAGTTTGGTTGACTTGAACAATAGAATTGGCTGAAAATAGGGCTCAAAATGGGCAAAATCACTGATGCATAGGTATCTCTTGAGACTGCTAACTTTGCGAGAGCATAATTCCATAAGTTTTCCATTAAATTTTGTACTTTTGGTTTCATTACCTTTAGAAAACTATTCTATCATTTCATAAGATATTTTTTTTAAATTCTCCAACCCTGAGAGCCATTCTCAGATCAGGGGTTCTGACCCTGAAAGAGTTAAATAGGATTGTAAAGTTTAGTCTGATTATAAAGTTGCTAGAAAGGAATACTTCACTATTTATAATAAAGTATTAAAAATATACTTAACTAGAATCACTATTAAGTGTTGGATGAATTATATTTAGTAATAGCCATGTCCTTAACATGCTGTCACATAATTTTCCCTGACCACCTCCATCAGCTTAGTTCTTCACACTTCTGGTTCCCATATGGAGACCTGAATGAGAATGAGAAGGGTAGATAGGCCAAGTCTGTCTGAGGCAGGTCTTGGGTACACAAGACACGGCTTGGAGTTAAAAACCCTGACGAGTCAGTGATGTTAGGAAATAGGTTTGTAGCCATAGTGATAAGAAAGTGGAATGACCTAGACAGCAAAGTGGTAGAGGCTGGATCAGTACACAGTTTTAAAATTAGTTATGATAGGGCTCATGTGGCCAGGAGAGTGTCAACCCAGTAGCAGCCAACAGAGAGGTAAGGCTAGGAGCTGAGACTACCTTTGCAGTCACAATTAGATGAGTACAATTAGGTAAGGACAAGTAAGGACAGTTTGATCCCCTACAGTGAACACAGTTTAAAGGTTATAAGCAGGTATGATAGGATCTGTGAGACTAGGATGGAGTGAATCTGCCAAGGTGCAAGTTTTGGGGCTGCCCCGAGAGCTAAAACTCTACTTCTGTAACAACACATTGGTCAGGCAAGTGCATTCTTGCACATGTAATAATAATTTCATTGCAATACACATTTTTACCTTAAGATGTCCTTTATAGATGAGCTGAGTGGTTCAGATTCTTTAGCAAGTGAGGATGAGGATGATGCTGATGACAATGAAAATGATAATGAAGGTGTATCCAGTGAAGATGAAGATGAGGAGGATGAAGAAGAGTTGGATCTCTCCCAATTGTGCTCTTCAGAAGATGATGACTCTGATGAAGTAAGATTTATTATAGTACTGTGCATAAATGAATATAACAAAGTTTGTTAGCTAGTTGTAAGAAAGGTCATGCACCATGTTCAAGTTGTGCAAAATAATATGGAAAATGTGTGGGGGGGGGACATGCTTTTTGGATTATTACATTTCCACAAAAATTGCCTTTTTAATCAAACTTGAGACAAATACACTGATCCAAGGACAAAAATATTGCTCGTGTCCAGTTACATACCTAGACATGGACATAATTAAAAAACGGAAAGCTAAATGCACATTTTTAATTTTATATTATTCAGTAAGTTTGTTTATACCAGGCAAATGCCAGACAAGCCTGGCCCATGGCTGGGCTCTGGGAGTAGAAAAATTCTCAGAACTCATCAAAGGTATATCAGAGGTATACAGTAGTCAAGAAATAGGCAAAATAAGCCTAATAAAATGATTTGCTATTTGCAGGATGTAAAGATTGAGTCAGATCAGGAATGGGAAGGCCTCAGTGCAGGTGAACATTTAGAGTTCATTAGTAAAGAGGGCATGTTGGCTGCAGTATTTGTTGCATGTGATTGGCTCAAGAGAGAAGATGAGGTCATCCAGCTCTGCATGAAGACTGCAGACTCTCTCTGGACTGCAATTGCAAAGCTTCTAAATCTAACGAAGGTGGATTTAGATCATCTGAAGAATAGTAAGTTCACGTAGTATTTGTATCACTACATTTATATATGGCTGATGTGGTAAAACATTTTGTATTTTGTTATATTCTTGCTGCTTATGATAATGCTGCTAATGATATTTTAAAATTTTTATTAAAATTTTACTAAGAAAATTGTAGATGAAAAATTTGTGTTAGTGTAATATAAGAGATAATGCTTATTATTCAGTCCTCACAATCGGTGGTTACAAATATTACTAGTACAGTTCATAAAACAGAGTAAGCTTAAGAAGTTTCTTAGGAAAATATGTGAAGAGTAGAGGCACTCTTAATTTTTGTTATTAAGGCACTTAATTTTTATTGCTAATCTTAATGTAATATTCTACAGATTCACATGGAGTTCGAAATGATGTGATTGGCCTTTTACAAGAATGTGCTGGCACTGCAGGAGAGAATTCTCACAATGCATTGTTAGATGCTCTGCGGATAACACCACTTCCAGAAGATTTCATGCTTCATACTTTAATTTCCACCTATCTGCCAGGCACAAGCAAGTCTCTGAACCTCAAGTCAATGGAACTGGTAGGATTTTAGTGATGGTAGTTAACAATGACAAAATGTTAATTAATACCTTACTGCCTTTAATTATTTTTCAGTTTTTAGTTAAACAGTCGATGTTCATCATTAGGGCATAGATTGCTTACTTATTGAATTTTGTATGTTGTTTTGTAGTTTCATTACCCAAGTTAATGAGTTCTTAATACTATTTCACATGGCTTATATTTATATAAGAATTGTAAAATCTTTGGCAGTAGTAAAGCCATTATTGTTTTTGGGTTTTCACGAAATGTTGAATAATCTTCCATTTAACCCTTAAACTGTCCAAACGTAGATCTATACTTTTTCAACATTTGAAAGCATGTAAAAAAAAAAGTAGATCTTTTTTTTTTTTATATTTGAAAACGTGTAAAAAAAACTTTGATCTTTTTTTTTTTTGTTTTTGTTTGTTTATTTGTTTGAAAATATGAAAAAAAAATGTAGATCTGCTTTTGGAGCACTACGCTTGTGAACGTAGATCTGCTATGACAGTTTAAGGGTTAAATTAAGAAAGTTCATACAAATTCGTCTTGGATATTTTGATTCATTGTTCATTTCTCTATCTAATTTGTCAGAAACTTAGTAGAAGTAACAAAAGTAGTTTATAAATCTCTAGATGTACTTTGCTGTATTTTTACTTATGCACATGGAAATATGGTAGAGCAAAAACCACTTAAGGTAAACAAAATGAAACTAAAATAATTTCAAGAAAACAATTGAAATTCTTTATTACTTAACCCTTTCAGGGTCGACAGGCCCTCTTGAGATTTGTTCTCAGGGTCGCCCAAATTTAAAAAAAAAAAAATCTTTTCCCGATCATAATCACACCAAAAGTATGAAATTTGATGGAAAACTTACAGAATTATGCTCTCGCGAAGTTAGCGGTCTCGGCGATGTTTACGCATAAGCGATTTTGCCCACTTTGAGCCCTATTTTCCGCCAATTCCACTGTACTAGTCTACAAAAATCATAACTATTTTGCTAGAACTCCATTTTTTTTCTATCGAATGAGTACAAGAAACCACCCATTTACCGATTTCAACTATCCAATACAGTGGTCAGAATGTAGCAATTTTGCCAATTTCACACAAATTTCAAAAGATGCCAATTTCCAAATAGGGTCCAGAATAAACAAGAAAGACATTCCTGACACTAAAATGAGATTTCCTCTGTTCATTAGTCACATCCCAATGCCCCTCTTACATCTCTTTTGCTTTCCAATTTGAATTTTTATTCTCACAAAAAATAGAAGATTTACTGTTATGCAGACTACTGCATTAGTGTAAAAAATGGTATAAATAATATTAGCGCACTTGTGAAAGCATATTAGACTCGCCAGTTGACGTGTATTGGACGCTTAGCATGATTTGTTTACTTTTGAACTTGGGTAAAAATCAAACATTTCTGCTACTTTGAGCTCAATTTCAAGGTACTTTTCATTGTAAAATCAGTCAAAATCATCTCAATTTCTGTAATATCTCTTCCATTCTATAGAATGAGACCAAGAAAATTAGAATACAAAAATAAATACCATACGAAAATACAGTGCAAAGTCGCTGTTTTAATTCAAAAACACGGTCAAAGTTTTTTTTTTCTCATTACGCACTGTGTGCTGCAGGATTTTTTTATACTGCGCACATTGACCACATAGACCCATTCTTTCATATGTAGGCCTACCAGCTTTCTCTCACTAGATTTGAGGGCTCTAGAATTTAGGCGTACTAGTACATCAAAAACTCTGGTGCTTAAGCCGTACTAGTATGGCCGAAACCCTGAAAGGGTTAAATTATTACTTCTATTTTAACCCTTTCAGGGTTTCCAACCTACTAGTACGGCTTACACACCAGGGTTATTGACATACTAGTACGCCTAAATTCTAGCGCCTTCAAATCTAGCAAGAGAAAGCTGGTAGGCCTACATATGAAAGAATGGGTCTGTGGTCAGTGTGTGCAGTATATAAAAAAAATCCTGCAGCACACAGTGCGTAATGAGAAAAAAAAAAAACTGTGACCGTGTTTTTGGTTTAAAACAGCGACTTTGCACTGTATTTTCGTATGGTATTTATGGTTGTATTCTAGTTTTCTTTTCTCATTTTATAGAATGGAAGGCATATTACAGAAATTGAGATGATTTTGATTGATTTCACAATGAAAAGTACCTTGAAATTGAGCTCAAAGTTGCAGAAATGTTTGATTTTTACCAAAGTTCAAAAGTAAACAAATCATGCCATGCGTCCAATACAAGTCAACTGGTGAGTCTAATACTCTTTCACAAGTGTGCTGATATTATTTTTACCATTTCTACACTAATGTAGTAGTCTGCATAACAGTAAGTCTTCTATTTTTTGTGAGAATAAAAATTCAAAGTGGAAAGCAAAAGAAATATAAGAGGGGCCTGGGGATGTGACTAATGAACAGAGGAAATGTTATTTTAGTGCCAGGAATGTCTGTCTTGTTTATTCTGGACCCTATTTGGAAATTGGCATCTTTTGAAATTTGTGTGAAATTGGCAAAATTGCTAATTTCTGACCACTTTATTGGATAGTTGAAATCGGTAAATGGGTGGTTTCTTGTATTTATTCGATAGAAAAGATCGAGTTTTAGCGAAATAGTTATGATGTTTTGTCGACTAGCACACTGGAATTGGCCGAAAATAGGGCTCAAAGTGGGCGAAATCGCTGATGGGTAAACATCGTCGAGACCACTAACTTCACGAGATCATAATTCCGTAAGTTTTCCATCAAATTTCATACTTTTGGTGTCATTATGATCGGGAAAAGATTCTCTTTTCATAAGAACCCCCCCCCCCCCCCGGAAAATTTTCGACTCTGAGAACACGTTTAGGAGAGGGCCTCTCAACCCTGAAAGGGTTAATAAAACTGGCCAAATCAGGTTCTTGTTTTTTACAGGTGCTGCTGAGAGTGAGGCGTCTCCATGACTTTGGGCAAGAAATGGCAGTGCGGTATGATACCCCCCTGTGGCACAATACTGAAACTGGGGTGTACAGTTTCTCTATGGACGGTGTAGTGTTCGAAGATAAAAAGAATAAGAAGGAAGCTGGATTGGTAAGTATTATCCAGAGGGCTGAGGAAGGGTTGCTGATGTGGTTCAGACATTGAGAGGATGGAACAAAATGGAATGACCTGGAGGGCAAATAAATCTGTAGTGAAAGGAAGGTGGGGTAGGGGTTGGCCTAGGAAAGATTGGAGGGAGGGACGGAGTGAGTAAAGGAGGTTTTTGTATGCGAGGGACTTCCAACAAGCATGCTCGAGCATGTTAGATAGGAGTGGGTGGAGGCAAATGGTTTTTGGGACTTGATGTGCTGTTGGAGTGTGAGCAAAGTAACATTTATGGGGCATTGATATGTTGCATTTTTTTTTTTTTTAACTATAGTGTAGGGACACTTCTGGGAAGACAGTGATTTAGTGAATGATGAAAATTTTTCTAATTTTTCGGGTCACCCTGCCTTGGTGGGAAACAGCCATTGTGTTAATAAAATAAAATATGCTTCTACTGTATACAGTACTATCCTAACTAAACCTACTTTTGTATTATCCAGTTTTTCTCATTCCATTCAAGGGATATTCATTGATGCCAGTAAAGAGATCTTGATAAAAGGAATTAGTGCTATCCTGCCTTCCATTTTATTAATCCTGATTGTCTCCAAGTCCTCAGGAGCTATATTTCCCTTGGGTTTAACATTTCCTCATAAATTATTTTCTTTACTTAGACAACAACTGATTTATTCCACAAACTCTGATGATGATACCTTTAGCACTCCCCACAGCCCTTTATACCTCACTCTTGCTACCCTCTACCCCCACACTATCCACTGCCCCACTGATCTCTCTAACCTACTAATCATCCCTCTCCCTTTTGCCACCTGATACCCTTGCTTGCTTCCCTGCCCTGCAGACATGTATAGTCCTTGTGGTTTAGCGCTTCTTTTTGATTATAATAATAATCTTTCCTTGGAAAGTGTGATTACCATACATTTTCAAAGGTGCTCTGTCGTCTGTGGGTTTAGCACTTCTCCATCAAAAAAAAAAAGTTACTGTAAACAAGATTGTGTGAAGACTGCAATTCTTGATATGCTTTATGAAGAAAGGTCCATATACCAAAAATAGTATTTTTGAAAATTCATTCCATATTTTGTATATAAATCTTGTGTTCCCTGGGATGGAGGTTGTGTCACTTTAGTTGCAACTAGATGTGGAAAACTTCTGTTGAGATAAATGGTAGAATAGGCATTAGGTGAAATACATGGATAACTGATCAATAAGCAACATAATTGTATATTATAGTACTGCTTTGTATGACCCTTGTGAGTTTAGCACTTAGTTATGATTATAATAATGCACTACTGCTTATATTGCTATCATTATTATTAGAGAAAAAAAGAGAACAAGATATCCTGATATAAATTTTTTTTGACCACGTTCACCATTTCCTTCCAAAGTACCTGGGTGATCCACCAATCATTTGATACCTGTCTTACCAGAAGTACTCGGAAATTTCATTTCAAATAACCCTCTGAAATGCAACCTATCAATAGAGGGTCCTTGACCTTGATGAAAGGCTCTTGATCCAAGGAATTGGACTTGACCTATCCTTCCCTGCAGGGCCTCAGAGAAATTTGGAAGGTGGAACAAGATGCTTTGGGGCCCCGGGGGGGCAGGTTGAGGCCCTCAATCTAAGTACCGGCTGAACACCCCCCTCTCATAGATGGCCCTGCTTCCTTTGGATCGAACCCAGTTGCCTCTCATTCCTTAAAGTGATGCATGACTCTTATGGATTTACCGCTATCTCCTCCCAGAAATTAAGTCAAGTCAGTAAGATTAATGTAAGGTGCAAAAAAAACAAAAATAAAAAATGGATTAAGCTGCAATGGAAAATCAAACAGAAAAAATAACAAATGTTTGAATGAAAGCAGCATATTTAAAAAAAATTACACAAAGACAGATTGTTGTTTGTTATGGGTGAACCAACACTAAGTGTATTAGGTACAGCTACACAAGTACAATTATCATGCATAGTAACATATATGTAAATTACCTAGGATACCCCCCTCCCCCCCTAAAAAAAAGGTGACTTATTTCTACTAGGGTCCTTGTAATATCGTATTATTTAAAGTCTTTCTTTTTCTGTCTCAAACACTGTAGATAACAGGGATATCTTGCTACTCCTACTTACACTTTGGTCACACTTCACAGACGCGCACATGCATATATACAGTGGACCCCCGGTTAACGATATTTTTTCATTCCAGAAGTATGTTCAGGTGCCAGTACTGGCCGAATTTGTTCCCATAAGGAATATTGTGAAGTAGATTAGTCCATTTCAGACCCCCAAACATACACGTACAAACACACTTACATAAATACACTTACATAATTGGTCGCATTGGGAGGTGATCGTTAAGTGGGGGTCCACTGTATATATACATACATCTAGGTTTTTCTCCTTTTTCTAAATAGCTCTTGTTCTTTATTTCTTCTATTGTCCATGGGGAAGTGGAAAAGAAAGTGGAGCATACTCAAGGTGCAAGCATACTTGTGCTCGTACAGAGTCTTGCAACCCCTACTGTCACGTAGATGCGAGATACGGTGAAGTGCTGTAAGCTTCCTGGCTGCCTTGTTTGCAAGATTTAGAACATGGTTCTTCATGGTTAGTTTGGAGTCAAATTTCACCCCAAGGTTATCAACTTCTTCTCCAGGTGCCAACACCCTCCCATTCATCCTTACTACTGCACCAGCATTTCCGTCATGGTGCCTAGAGACGATCATCATTTGCGTTTTCTCAGGTGCAAATGTTACTTGCCATCTATTTCCCCAAGCTGATATAGCTCTCAGCTGGTGATTGATGTAGCTTAGAGCAGCTGGCATTTCTTCTCTTGGATAAATGAATGTCAGTGTACAGTTGTCTGCATATGCATGTGATTCTGGGATGAGATGAAGAAGGTCGTTGAAGTAGACATTCCATAACAATGGTCCCAGCACGCTTCCTTGTGGAACACTTGCCCCAATAGGATGTCTTGCTGATTCCGTTCCATTGAGAACTACACTTAGAGATCTACCATGAAGGTAATCATTGAGGAGACATAGTGTAGAGCCTGCAATTCCCAGTGCTTGAAGTTTTGCTAAGAGGCCCTGGTGCCACACCCGGTTGAAAGCGCCAGCAATGTCCAGTGCTACCACAGAGCTGACTTTGGATTCATCCAGTGACTGGTGCCACTTAGTGGAGAGGTTTAACAACAGATCAGCAGCAGAGTAACCTTTCCTGAAGCCATATTGACGATCACAAAGTAGTGAGTGATAGTCAAAAAACTCTGTCATTTGTCTTGAGATTGTCTCAAGGATCTTACCAGTGATTGACAGGAGTGACACTGGCCTGTAGTTGCTGATTTCTGCTCTGCTCTTCTTTTTGTGAACAGGGACTACATTTGCCTCTTTCCATAGAGAGGGCCATTTACACTGTACTAGGCAGTGCTGAAAGATGTGAGTTAGGTGCTGCTAGCTGGTCTGCACATCTCAGCAATCTTGGTCTCAACTTGTCTGGGCCCACAGCCTTTTCTTGGTCAAGCGATTTAAGAAGGAAATGCACCTCCTCCAGCCTTTTCTTGGTCAAGCGATTTAAGAAGGAAATGCACCTCCTCCTGCCTTATTGTCACCACTGACAGTTTTGACACAGTTCTTGCAGCTAGCCAAGGAGGGTCAATTGCTGGATCAGAAACTTGCATTTTGGTAGCAAAGTGTTCAGCAAAGAGGTCCACCTTCTCTTGACTACTAGTAGAGGTGGTCCCATCCTGTCGATTTAGAGGTGGAATGAGTTCATCAGGCAGATAACCTTGTCTGTCCTTGACCAGGGACCACCAGGTTTTGGAGCCTACCCTACCTGATGCTAGCTTTCTTTTAGTGTCCACCTCCCATTTAGCAGTGGCCCACTTTTGAATGTCACCCATATGTCTACAGGCTTGCCTGTGCAAGTTCCTGTTATAGGTGGTAGGATGTCTCTTATACCTTCGCCATGCTTTGTACTTAGCAGTAGCAGCCTCTCTACAACGAAAGCCAAACCAAGGCTGATCCGTAGGCTTCGTCACATATTGCCGGTGAGGAATGTGTTCTTGTTGTAGATTAAGGATGTGTCCAGTGAAGGCTTTCACTTGGTTGTCAACATCCCCTTGGAGAAGAGCATTCCAATCGGTGGTGGCGAGCTCAGAGTGAAGGGCTGGCCAACTCCTCTTTCCCATAGCCAGGTTGTGCGTGTGGACTCCTCACCTCGTTCTGTTGGGCTCTTAAGTGTCGTAAAAACAGCCTTGTGGTCAGACGATCCAACATAGCCGAGGGGTTGACAAGTGACTATGCCTTCTGCCAGATCACTCACTACTGGGTCAAGAGAGGAGCCAGAGATGTGAGTAGGGAAATCAACAAAGTTTCTCATGTCAAACACTGCAAGAAGGTCATCAAAGTCCCTCTGTATAAGGTGCTGGTTGAGGTCACCAACAATTATGATATGTTGCCAGTTGTGTTGTAGCAGAAGGGAGTCAATATTTTCCATTAGGAAGTTGATGGGATCTGCATGTTGCCACTGAGGTCTGTACATTGCACATGCTAGTACAGAGGCACTAGTGTTTATGCAGAGCTTGAAGAACATCATTTCAATATGTGCAAGGGTGGCAACATCAATGTGCTGGGCATGAACACTTTTAGAGAAGCACACAGCAACACCTCCTCCTTGCCCTTGCCTGTCTCTTCTCATCCATGAGGTGTAGCCAGCAATTCTTGCAAAAATTTTCTGGAGTCCTGTCATCCAAAACTGTTTCAACAACAGCTATCATGTCGGGACGTCGAGTGTTCACAAAACTGTGTGTGAGCTCTCCAACATTAGTAATGAAACCTCTAATGTTGGCCGACAGGATGCTGATAGACAGACTCATGATGATGTGGTCAGCTTGAGGTGGTGGGTGTGTAGGGCATGTAAGGTGCCTGCCCTTGAGAGAGGTAGGGTACTGAGGCAGCTGCAGGGATGTAGGTCTGTGGTCTTGTATAAGGCACAATACCACCTG